GAATTTTCTATCTAATCAGGTTCTAGCGACTCTGCTGTAATGAGCACGGCATCCATCTAATTGAAACCACATTTCAGTACGTTGTTGTAATGGGATGTTTTCTAAATAGTCAGAAAATTCATTCTCCAAGAAATTTAAAAAACGGTCCCCATTTAATTTTGCAGGTAAAAAAAACGGTCCCACTAAAACGTTGTTCCAAATTCCAAGCCAGACGTTAACAGAAAACTCATGCTGAAATTTGTATTCTCTAACAGACCTGGGATTTAGTTGAGCCCATATATGATAATTCCTTTGATTAATTATTCCACCTCTAGTAAATGTTGCCTCATCTGACCACATTATTTTAGATGGAAATAAAATATCATTGTGGCATTGCTCAAAGTACCAGTTACAAAAGTTCAATCTGTTCCAATGATCTTGAGGTAATAAATTTTGCACTTTTTGAATGTGGTAGGGATAGCGATTATCTCCTTTTACAGTTCGCCAAATTGTTTGTGGTGACACTCCCAATACAGCCGACGCATTCCGAACGCTGGTCTCAGGATGATTGTCAAAATGTTGTAAAATACGATTCCCTACCTGCAAATCTCTTCGTAACGCTGCTTGAAATCGGTTGTTTTCTTGTCGAATTGAAAATGATCCAGTCTCTCGCAATCTATTAAATGTCAACATAAACACTCTTCGGTTTGGCACTCTTCTGTTTGGAAATCGTCGCGCATATTCTCGCACCGCCTTTAAAGCATTACCGTTGCAGAAACCGTATACAAAAACCATATCAGCATATTCACTATTAGAATACGTACGCGGCATATTGCAAAAGACAAAATTCATCTACTGTTAAAGGCTTTCAAAGAGCGACCGACAAATTCATAACAGAAAGTGGAAAATGTAATCAAATATGTCAATGCTAGATATGGCAAGAAATGTAAACATTTTTTTTCGATTTTCTCTGAAACAGAGCAAAAACGAGCATATGTCTATAGGACTTTTTTCTTAGTTTTTTACTCCTCTACACGCTCCCGAAGTTTTGCCATTTAATTTGGAAACACCCTGTATATACATAGAGCTAATATATACTATAAACTTACTT